GCAGTAAAAGCAAAGGATAACAGATGAAATACTGGCTATGCCTACCCACAGACCTAACAAAAAATATATAAGAGCTTCATCAATTTTCCAGAGATTTTTTCAAATTATTCTCCTTTAAAGCCTTTCTAGATATTCAAAGAACAGTTGCTTAAGTGGTCACTTAACTGCTGTTAAATTGGGAAAGGTATTTGAATACATTCTTATTTTGTGGAAACCACCAGATAGAGGCAATATGGTACAGCTGATGGAGAGTCAGCCCTTATGTAGGGAAGATCTGAATTCAAGTTCCACCCATAACACATAATAGCAAGGCATAGGGCACCTGGGAATTCTCTAATACTTTAAGTTGCAAAGTGGTTGGTAATCTGAAGTCATAGAGGGAGTTTCCTCATTTATCATTAACTACAACAAAATTCAACCTTGTGACTCTGGGGCCTTGGATAATGAATGCTTGGATTAGGAGATCCCTTACAGTGGCATGGTGAAAGCAACAATGTTGTAATTATTTGAAGATATTGCATTTAGGGGAATGACTAAACAAATTGTGATACATGAATATAATGGGATATTATTGAACTGTAAGGATGACAAATAGGCAGAATTTTTTAAAACAGTTAAGCCTTATATGAAATTGTGCAGAATGAAGTAAGCAGAAACAAGAAAATAATATCTAGACTGAAACAATAAAATGGATAAAACAATAAAGTAAAACTGATAATTGGGTAATTTTTATAGAAGTTTCAATAGCTTCTCTTGAAGAGACTACTGTATACATATTGTTACTGTCTCTTTAAGAAGCAGAACTATTAAATACATCCTTTTTTGATCAGAATGCAACAAAAATTATATACAATAAGGCACCATGGAAACAGATTAAAAACTAATTCATAGCTAAACAACTTAATCTTAAAGAATGAGTGGGTTAAAGAACAAATCATAGAAACAATCAATATGTCATTAAAGAGAATGACAATAATGAGACAACATATCAAAACCTATGAGATGCAGCAAAAGAAAATTTATATTTCTAAATATTTACATCAATAAAATAAAGAGAAGACCAATGAATTCAGTATGCAATTTAAAAAAAACTAGAAAAAGAACAAATTAAAAATCTCCAATTAAACACCAAATTGGAAATCTTACACATTAAAAATTAATAAAATTGAGAGCAAGAAAAAACATTATTAATGTAATTAATTAATTAATTAAATGAATTAATAAAACTAGGAGTTGGTCTTATAAAAAACAACAAAATAAAAAAAATTGGTTAATATGATTTTAAAAAAGAGAGAAGAAAACCCAATCACTAGTATTAAAAATGAAAAGGGTAAATATTCAACTAATGAAGACAAAATCAAAGCAATTGTAAAGAGTTAGTTTATCCAATTATACACCAATAAATTTAACAATTTAAGTCAAATGGAAGAGTATTTACAAAAATATAAACTGCTTAGATGAACAGAAGAGGAAATAGAATATCTAAATAAACTTGTTTTAGAAAAAGAAATTGAACAGGCCATAAATGAGCCTCCTAAGGGGGAAAAAACATTAGGACAAGGTGGATTTACAAGTGAATTCTACCAAACATTTAAAGATCAACTAATTCCAATATTAAATAAAATAAATGGAATAAAAAAAAAAAAAAAAAGGAGTCCTATAAAACTCCTTTTATGAAACAAATATGGTACTGATATTTAGACCAGGAAGACCAAAACTAGAAAAAGAAAATTATAGACAATCTCATTAATGAATATTGATGCAAAAATCTTAAATAAAACACTAGACAGGAGACAACAGCTGTATATAGCAAAGATTATACATTGTGACCAAGTAGGATTTATACCAGGAATGCAGGGATGGTGTAACATAAGGAAAGCTAGGAACATAATTGATTATATCAATAACAAATTTTTTAAAAATCATGTGATTCCATTAATAGATGCAGAAAAAGCTTTTCATAAAATACAATATTCATTCCTTTTAAAAACATTTGAAAGCATAGGTATAAATGAATTTTTCCTTTAAATGATAAAAAGCATCTACCTAAAACCATCAGCAAGGATTATTTGTAATGGAGATAAGCTAGAAACCTTCCCATTAAGATCAGGAACAAAGCAACGATGCCCATTGTCACCAGTATTATTCAATATCATATTAGAAATCTTAGCAAAAGCAAGAAGATAAGAAATTTCTTAAGTATTACAAATACTCAAATCAACTACAAAGGACCTACGAAGGGAGATGCTATCCAGAGAAGGAACTGATAAATAGATGTATAGTATGATTTTATATACATATTTGTGTCTAATGGTAGCCTTCTCTAGGGCAGGGTAGACAGGGAGCTAGAAAAAAAAAATACAAAATGCACAGCAGAGACCAAAAGAAAACTTAGAAGGACACACAAAAAAGCAGGGTAGCTTTGAAAACAATGTGTAGTACTTATTACATAGTCATTTTTTAAACAGCAGACAGTATGAAATGGAAATTCATGGTTTTATACTGAATCATCTTTTTCTGTTGTGCTGTGTACATGGGAATGTTCCTTTTTTTGTCTTTAAGTTCAAAATGAATTAAAAAATTAAAAATAAGCAATGGAATCTTGGCTGCTGCAATTAGTTGTTGTTCTGTGAAGTTGAAAGGACTGAATTTAATTGTCATTTCAGAGAGACTGATGATGGTGATGACAAAAAAGATGACAAAGAAAAAAGACTATGAGAATCTATTTTCTGAAAGAACTGAATTTAATCCCTATCTTATGAAGAAACAAAAGGATTCTTGAGAGCAGATTTTATTGGTATCTATATAACTATAACTATATATATTTGAATATTGAGATTGTGTTTCCATATTTAAGAAGTCCACAATTGTAGTGATGGCTAAAATTGACTTTAGTTATTATCTTTTACAACTGATATATTTTAAGAATTATTATTAGATCATTTCTGTCTTTGCTTTTTTCCTTGTTTATTAAACTGGTAATAAGTAACTGTAGTCAGAAACTGATGTTTCCCTAGAAGATTAGGGCATTTGATATGAAGAGATGAACAAATGTTTATGGGAAATGAGTTTTGTGTAGTTGGTTTAATAAATGATAATTCATAATCTGAGATGTGTACTCAGAGCTAACTGATCAATAAGGATATTGCAAATTTTAGCAATTTTAATTTGGAAGTATTCAAACATACCCTCTGATTAAATTAGAACTCAGGACAAGAATGAATAAGAACTTGCAAATAGAAAGGGAGAAGAGAAAGAAAGAAGGGGGCAGTAATCATTTCACCTAATACGTCTTGATAGAATATATATTAGGATTATAACCTCTAAAAGCTTGCTATATTATAATGACCAAGCAGACATGAAGAAGAGTTGAGCAAATGTACCTTCCTCTCTTCATTTCAGAGGTAAGGGATTATGTATGTAGAAAATTGTATGTATTCTCAAATGCTATCAATGTGTTCATTTGTTGAACTTTTTAAAGAAAGAAAACTCATTTTTCTCATAACGGAAGTTTTCTAGGAGGGGGGGAAGGATGAGGTATATATTAATATATGAATGTAGCATAAAAAAGGTACCCCTAAAATAAATAAAATAGAAAAATATAGGAGAAAATAGAATAAAATACTTACCTTATAAAGACAGAAGTAAGGGTGGAAACTTGTCAATTGAAATACAATGTAATTGACAACTGTTTTCTGAGGGGAAAGTTTTACCTAGGTGAAGGATTACTTTAATACAGACTCATTAGTTTACTATTGATACCACCAGTGTTTAAGTTGTAGAAGAGAGAGGATTAGCTCTCATGTAAAGCAAATGTTCAGAAAGGCAAGGAAAACTGGGAATCTAAAGGTGGAAATCTACTTCAGCTTTGTGGTCTACCATTTTGTTACTGGGTAGTAAATGTCAATGAGACTAAAAAGGGGCTTATATCACCTTAGTATAGATTTCACAGTTGATATGGAAATTAATGAGGTTAATGATAGTAGTGGGATTGCTTTAGGTAAATGGAATTTGGGAGAAGCTTGAGGGTGGTGCCCAAGCTTTAAAATATATACTTTAATTGCATTGGTTTATAAACCTATGAGGAATCTATGGGATTTTTTCCTAATATAGTGCACCCAGTATTGAACCTCTTATTCTTGAACCTTTCACTCTGTCTCCCATGAGTTAGACTTGATTGTGTTTCTGGTTTTAACCTAATCCTTTTTTGAACAGATTTGCCACCTCAAGTTCCATAGCCCCAGATATTGATCTTGGCTTTCATTTCAAATATCACTACTACATGACCCTTTGAGTTCCCAGACTCATATCTATTACTACAAACTCACCTTGCTCATACTACCTTTATAGCTTGTGCCAGAACATCCTGAAATAAAAATCTTTCTCTCACTGTAGCTGACCCCTGCTTGGTCCTGCCAAGGGAAGAGCACTAGATCAATAAAGAGAGGCCTTCATCTCATTTGGCATCAGAAAAAAAATACAATTGGAAAGTATTATTTATTTACTTGGTGAGGCAATTGGGGTTAAGCGACTTGCCCAGAGTCATAGAGCTAGTGAGTGGTATGTGTCTGAGATCGAATTTGAACTCAGGTCCTCCTGACTCCAGGGCCAGTACTCTATCCACGGCACCACCTAGCTGCCCCTGGAAAGTATTTTTTAAAAGAAGATTGTGGATGGGGTAGTCAGTCTCAGGTGCGTGTTCCATAAAATATGTGTGTGTCCCATTTCTCTACACTCATTGCTCTGCATGTTGTCTAGCATAAATCATAAATCAGCTGGTAGAATTAGGGATAACAACCGTTTCACAGAATACTAGAACCTTAGTGTTAGAAGGATCTTTGTGGTCATGTAGTCCAACCTGTACTTGACAAAGAATCTCTGCAACAAAAATTTTCGTTGTTAGAGCTTTGGCATACTTCTAAGGACCCATTTTTCAGTTAAGATATTACTTTAAGACAGGATAAACACAGATAAATGCTAAATAAACATTCAGTGTTCTCTCATAAAAGTTATTTATTGGAATGGTAAGTATGATAATTTCTTATGCAGCTACAAACACAATACAACATAAACAATGTGTTAAGAGTACCAGAAATCTAATCAGCAGAAACAATTCCATAAAGAACGGTCACTATGAGTGTATAGTGGTCCAGCCATTGAGATTAATTGGAAATTAAAACAAATATCAAACTAGTGTTGTCCTGCAACAGAGTTTTTCTGTAGCGAAGAAAAACTGAAATGGATGTAAACAAAATAGCACCCATTCAATACATTAGGCCAATTTAAACTTGAAGAACAATGTAACAGGTAAAAAGTGAATGTTAAAAGTGGTTATTTACAGCCTTTTTTTCTATAACACTAATGTGTTAGCTAATTTCATTTTGCCATTTCCCCATTTGAATCCATTACTGATTGAACTTCTTGATACATTGGCAAATAAATCATTGTACAACTAAACATAACTTTTCCCCCATTTCTTAAAGTTTGCTAACATGTTTTATGAAATGAAGAAAACCAAAGAAGTGTCATTGCAAGTATCATGCAATTAATTCTATACAGAAATAGTAAGAGTTAAGATTCTGGAGTCATACATAACAGTAGTCTAATTTTTTCCCCTAGTCAGATTTCTCCCAGAAAGTTAAGTTGTGAGTGATTGATAGCAGAGTAAACTAAAATTTTTATATAGTAGATATGGGGAAATGGGTAAAAGTATAATGTCAAAAAAGCAAATTCCTGAGAATGTGAATAATGTGGATTACAATTTGAGATATTCTATGGAGAATGTGAATTTTCTATGGATGGACTGTGGATAATGTGAAAAGCTCCTTAGCTGGCAAATTCTCTCCAACAGAAAGAACAAGAAGTACCCTCGCAGAGCTATTGTTTTAAGGCTGGACTTTCTTTGCATTTTTGACATATTGGAGTACTAATATCATTTGGACCAGTTCCAAATGCACAGTTCCCGTAGGGGCATAATAAGTGACAAAAGAAATGAAAATGCATGTATGGCCTAACATGGTAGCAGTTATTGCTGTCCTATTGTGGCAACTTTAATGAAAGGCTGTTCTTGTTTGATTTAACTTTAGTCACATTCTGCTGATACTGTGTTCCATCACACAAAAAAATTAGACTTGTTTCAAAGACTGGCTAGTTGTTCTAATTACACGGTTCTGGACAGAACACAAAGCTTTATTTTTATATGGATGATATTGTGCTAATTTATAGCAAAATCATTTAGTGCTTGGTAGAGTCATAACTAGCAATCTTGGAGCCCAGGGCAAGCATCACTAAATGTACTCTCAAATTAAATGTAGGAATAGGAGACCCTAACACTAGGTATGTTATGGAACCTTTCAGGGCACTGCTACATGAACAGAGAAATACTGAGGACTGGTTCCCTCATGGTGGAGGTGGGGGTAGAATCCAGTACCACTCTGTGGGGAAACTTCAGGAGAGAGCTTTGTGGAAAAAGAAGCCCTAGATACTACTGGAATGCACCATATGGAAGAGCAACAGAGACCATAGAGGGAGATATCAGGATACCACAAGGATAATATTGGGGAGGCCATTGGATAACAGGATAACCTGGGCAGGAAGAGCAGACTTGCTTTCTGTCAGTCAATGGAACAAAGCAAGCTATCTGGCAGCTTCCTAGTTTAACTACTTATTGTTTCTATATGCAGAAGGAGCAATGGTATTATAAAAAATTGAGATGTAAGAAAATTTAAAATTGCAACCATTTAAAATTATTTATTATTTTTGCCCCTTCCAAATATCAAAGCCCTGTGAAAATATCCAGATCACCCTTCCTTGGTAACCTTAGTTACCTTGCCCAAGTTATGCTCTGATACTTGGTGCAATCTACGAGTACCTACACAGAGCTCAATAGGGAACAAAGTAGCCACAGCTTCCAAATGTCTTTTAGAGTCATTCTTCTTTACAGTATAACATTATTTGAGGGAAAACTTGGGGAAAGTAAGCATAAACATTTTCTCTTAGCATGGCAGCACTATCATGTAGAGAAAATAGCTCACCCAAATTAAAGCCCAAATGAAATAACAAAAAACCTAAAATTGGACACAGAGTAACACTGCAGTATATCTAGTTACATTATTGATCAAAAGAGCTAAACACCAAAGCCAATGCAGACATGTTAACACTGGAGATATTGAGAGGATACATGGCAGAGTTATAGAATACAAAGAATGTAGAAGACCAGCTTTATTTTTCCAACTTCTCTCTGATATTAACAAACTGTTAACTGTCCAATTTTTTCCCCTTACTGTCATCAGGTCTGATGTTGAATAAATTTAGCAACTTTCAACTAGGGATGAATAAAGGCAGCTGGCTTCTGAGCAGAGCTCTTGTTACGCTATTGATGCCCTGCTGGAGTAGAAGTCAGGTACTGGCAGTCCGGTATGAAGTGTTACCTACAACAAGAATATGGTCAGCAAGTTGCAACCTTCTCCCCATTGCTCTGTCTGCCCTCTGACATAGTGAGTTTCTTTTTTGATGTCCACTCTCAGGGGGAAAAAAATCAGATTAAGGCAAGAATTCTAAACTTTTCCAATCTGCTTCTCAACCTCCTTCCTATTCTAAATACTCTGGTGAAAATTTGGTTTCAGACAGTGAGAGTTAATCTGCATGTTAAATGAAAATATCGTGGAAAATCAGGAGAGTATAGCTTAAAGTCAGCTCTGAACCCACTATATTTCATGTCTGGAAGCTGAAAGGATGGGTTGGGAAAATTTTATAGTTCAGAATGTCTACTAATTTTAATTATTCCTACAGGGTATTCTCAAGCTATGCCAAACCTTTCTATTTATGTTTAGGTGCATTAATACAAACTATTAATCTTTACATAAATGTGTTTATTTAATTCTTGCCCAGATTGATTATATTAATCTTTAAGTTGCTTTTTAGGGAACGATGGATAGAGTGCTGGGCCTGGAGTCAGGAAGACTCCTCTTTCTGAGTTCAAATTTGGCCTCAGACACTTACTAGGTGTGTGACCATGGGCAAATCACTTAACTCTATTTGCCTCAGTTCCCTCATTTTTAAAATGAGCTGGAGAAGAAATGCCAAGAAAACCTCAAATGGGGTTATGAAGAGTTAGATATGGCTGAACAACTAAGTTCCTTTTTAGCTCCAAAATTCTGTGATTCGATGGGGTCGTACCCCATTCGAAATCTAGATTGAGTGTGTTCAGAACTGCTTCATGTATTGCTCTGATTATGTTTTTCTCATCTTTGAGAAAGTTGTTCTTACTTCATTATCTTTAGGTTATAGTGAAAGCTCTCATCTCAAAAAAGAATCTTGAAAACCAGAGTAGAATCACAGAACCACAGAATTTCATACTTGGAAGGGCTGTCAACAATTTCATCTAACTTAGATATTAACAACAAGTCTTTCTACAACATATCTGACAAATGGTCAGCTGGCCTTTGCTTAAAGATCTTCAATGCAGGGGGAACCCACTACTCTCAGGACAATTCACTTTTGGATAGCTTTAATTGTTAGGAAGTTTTTTCATTATATCAAATCTAAATTTGCTTCTTTGTGATATTCCCCTGCTCTTGGTTATGCCCTCAGGGACCGATATTTAGCTCAACATCTTTTCCTCTGTGAACAATTAAAGGGTAAATGGAAATTGTGGCAGGAGATCTTAGATATGCAGTATGCTGAAGACTTGCCAAGACATTTTTTTCCTCACCAGGGCTACAGGAAGCAAATGAAGGCTCAGGGTAATTGAATCAGTGCATTCTCCTTACTGCACAGCAATTAGCCAGAATATTTAAGAAAATCAGAGGAAATGAAGCTGAAATATTTGCTTCAATGTGATGAGATCATAAGCATAGGCTAATTTTATATATATGGGTTTATAGTTATAATTAGTTTGTGCTGCTCCAGAATCCACTCACAGCATACAACAAAATAGAGTTATTCAGCTTATGGCTGAATATATGATTGTAATGGCTGTGATCACTCCTTTTCTCCTGCCCCATGTGATGCCCAAGGGCAGAAACTAAAAAAAAAATATTTCACATTAAAGAGTGATAAGCATATTGACTACTGAATGGTTCTTATATAATTGTTTCCATTCCTCCTAAAACATATTCCAAGCCCTTAAAAATTAGTTTCGACATCCTTCATTGACCTGATCTGGGCATCTGTCCCACCTGTTGCCTTCTCTGTCCCCTTCCCATTTGACTATTCCTGATAGGGAGGGACCATATCTCTACACTGCAATGTCACCCTCTGTAGTCAGAGCCAAGTACATATTCAGTTCCTCCAATTCACTCCACACCTCATCATTCCCCCTCCCTGCCTTTTTAATTCTCTTCTAGTTTTCAACCACATCCCTCTCCTCACCATCCCTCCCTGTGATCTTTTTATTTTAATGCTATGAATTTTACTCTAAGGTCATGAGCCTCTGAAACTACTGCAATGAAAGTATTTTCTCCACCTGTAGGGGCAAAATACTTACCTGTACATTCCTGTTCAGGCTGACAGCAGGAAAAAATAGACCTTCCATATTCTCAAAGGCAATAGGACCTTGTTGATCTTCATTGATTGAAAATGTTAAGGTTTTTCTATTTAAGTCAAGAAGGACTCCAACTGTGGCTCCCTTTGTGATCCCCCCCTCAGTTCTGTGGGAAAAGAAAATAATTGGGATGGCAGGTCAAATTAAATTTTTCCTCACTTACAAATTTGAAAGACAATACCATTTCAAGAATAATTAATGAACAACAAGTTTTCTCCTTTGATGCCTCTTAGTGTTAACAAATAAAACAAATACCAGTGACTAAAAAAAAATCTTCTGATTCATCAGAGATTAGGTTCTTTTATTATGTTCTATAACAGATTTTAATTATGAATTTCCCTGTTTTGGTATCATACAATCATATAAATTTTTAGCTTTAAAGGACTACATAATCATGTAGTCCAACATTTTACAAATAAAGAAACTGAGACCTCCTCAAGTCACACATTTGGTTAGTAGCAAAGTCTGGATTAGAACTTTTATCTCTTGACTCAAGTTTAGAGGTTTTTTCACAATAAAATGCTGTCCTGATTTAATAGTTAATACACATACAAATAAAAATGATAGCAAAGCAAGCTTCTAAGCCAAGTCTGAAAAATATACACAAGGAATTTTGTCTTGGGCTCTTGGTGCACATAATATTGAAAGATTCTTCTTCAAAAAGAATCAGGCATTTTAAAATGTTTTTTAATTTGAATTAAGTAGTTTTAATCAATTTATAAAATCACAGACTCTAAGACTTTGATTCACTTATCTAAGAAAATACCTAAACTGGATGAAAATACCTAAACTTCAACAATCTCAGGGAACTTGGAGACAAAGCAACACATTTACAAAAATCTGTGATGTACTTCAGTCAGCAGTCTCAAAAATAAAATCAAACAAAATTTATCATATTTGTTCTCCCTACACATACACATACACACACATACACACTCATTTTTGTGATCTGACTATATGAAACTTCAGCAGAAAAATATAAATGTAAGAACTATAAAGGATCTTCTCTCCTTTCCCTCTTCTCCACATACACACTCACTTTTGTGATCTGGCTATATAAAACTTCAGCAGAAAAATATAAATGTAAGAGCTATAAAAGATCTTCTCTCCTTTCTCTCTTCTCCACATAGAGAATTAAGATTATTTGGCCATTCTATAGGCAGCCATTTTTACAAAATTCAGTAATTATCAATTATACACAATTCTACAGTGACAACACAGGCTAGATATTGTTTGTACCCAAGATATTTATTTTTAAAAAAAAAGTTTATCTGGATGGTGTGATCAATATATGTTATTCTTCATCCCTTCACTTCTAAGTAAGGAATTGAAAGGGGAAGTTGAGTATGGTACATATATGATGTCCTTCTAGTTTTGGCTCTGATAGTCATATGATAGGGTAATTTCTCCAAACATAATTTGGAGGGTGGGGATTATGTCCACTATCTGAAATCCAGTGCATATCTGGTTGAAATTATCTAAAATTCACTTTACATGACATTGGATAATGCAAGATTGAGTTGATAGAAATAATAGAATATCTCTAAGTAAAAAAAGCCAGAGTAAATCCAAGCTATAAGAAGAGGAGTACATACTGAACTAGATGACTGGCTGACTAATGTTTCTGCTGAAGCATCCTTTTAGGGAGAATGCTGTCATTCTACCACTACTTAATTCATTTCTTAAAGACTGAGTCTTCTTTATTACCATATAGACTGATGAATATTTGTCCAAGCAAGTCTTTCTAAATGAGATCAGAATCTGTGAAAGTTACTTGTCCATCCTAGGAAGTTTACAAAGTGTAACTTTAGAAGTGAAAAGAGTTGAAGGTTAAGAAGGATTTCAAGGAAAATGAATTCTTGTTCAAAAATTGCAAAATAAAATTTGTCATATATACAATGCATTCATTTGGAAAGACTGGGAAACACAAGTGACTGTACAGATTTTTTTCTCTAACAAATTGGCAATTCTTAACTCAAACACAGAATGGTAAAACAGTGCTTCAAATACAAAGTGTTAAGAAATGACATCTATTAATTCATCATTGCTTGTTTTAGTCTTATGAACAGCCTACACACTAAAGTTTCCAGCTTCTTCCTATCTCTCACAAGAAATAGTGGGATGTTTCCAGTTCTTAGCCATTAATACATTAGGTATTAAAGAAAGAGTTTACAATTCCATTTGTATGTAAAAATAGGTTCACCAGGATAAACACAGCTAATGGAAATAGAGCCAATACACTATTTAATCAAATCCCACTATCCAGTTTCCTATTAAATTAGTTATTTAACCTGCATTATAGCCAACTTTCAAAGATGAAGTGGTACAGTAACTTTTATATCACTCAATTGCTATTTTCTTCATGAAGCCTATCTTAATGCTCCCCCACCTAGAAATCGTCCCCCCTTTTCTGAATCTCTTTGGCTACTGTTTACTTCTCACGCACTAATTCTTTTCCAACTTAGAGATATTTGTGTGCATGCTTCATTTGCTGTAAGAATGTAAGTGAATCAAGAGCAGAGAGTACATTTTATTTTGCTTCATATCTCTAGGACTTAGCATATTGCTTTGTATACAAAAGGCATTAAATAAATGTGTATTGAATTAAATTAACAAAGAAGAGGACTTTTGTTCCAAAGAGCTATGTTCTTTACATGTCCATAACACTGTGCTGGCCTGGTTTTGCAAGAGCAGGGTGAACGAGTGAAGAATTGTGACTGGGGTTCTTATTGTCTTACTAGAATCTTAACACGAAGACTTGAATTTTGGCAAATTGACAGCTGAAGGGTACCTGTTGGTGTGTGAGTTGTTGTGCATGAACCAGCTCCGATTATTGTCCACATACATTGCCCAAGCCTTGTCATCCTTTCCTAACATGATATCTTTCATCACATCAATGCAGGCTACACCAAAAGCAGGATCTGGATGGTTGTCATAACGATCAACTGTCAGCTCCCAGTAATGAACTCCCTTAGAGAAGCCAGTCTTTCCTAGCACAACCCGATCATCATAGCTACTGCAGGTCACAGTCAGGTTGTCATTGGAGAAAATAATGTCCGAGTGCGCAGAACCAGGGTCAAATGCAAACCAGGCAACTGGGAAAAAACACAAAGAGAATGTAGTTATCGAGACTGAACCAGTGACTACAGTCTATTAAAAATCCCTAAGGGGGATGACAACCTTTATGTCTAGATACCTTGCAACTGTGTAGGTAGAAATCTCCTAGAGTCAGAAGGGATAATACATATGCCCAAAGTGGTGGCCACTTTCTTCATATAGAACAAGACTCAAAGAACTAGATAACTGTCTTAGCAGAGTATGTCTTTGGGAAAGGGTCTTGCTCAGACTACCCTCCAACTTAGTGATCCAGAAATGGAGTGGCATCAATTATGGAAGGAATGCCTTTCTTTATCTGGTGACTGTCAAAACAATACCACCAGAAAGCAAAGGGGGTTGAATACGGTGAAGATATGAAAGGGAAAGTAGGAAGTCTAAAATATGGAGTCCTACATGGAGGAAGGATAACAGAAAAATGGTTAATATACTTCTCAGTATAATTGATAAAGTACTGTTGTCCTTTGCTTTGCTGAAAACTGAGTTGCTCAACAAAATGAGTATTTATGGCTTCAATTTCCATGAATAGCTGTGAATTGTTAACAGAGCAGAAATGACATGAATTCCTTCACAACATAATTTGACAATTTATTCTCTAAGTCTCAGACATAAAATAATTTATAAAAGTATTGGCCTTTTAAACATTAAGAGTAGATAAAATAGCAGATTAGTGCAAGTGGTTATGCTCCAAGTTTTAATTCTTAAATACTATCTCAAAAAATAACACACTTTACACAGATTTATTCACTGGTTTATTGAAACTCTTTATAAAAAACTCACATGCACTTCTATTCTGCACTTTTTAACAGAACATAGGTTATTTCGTACCTGCCACCATTTTTTTAATATCAACTGTTGTCATTCCAAATGAATGGCATGGAGGAAAAAAATAGGAAGTAAAATAGTCATTTATAAGAAAAGTAGTATATTTCATGAGCATTTGAAATAATATTGGATGGCGCTTTGTTACTTTAAGGCACTACACAAATTTCAGTTATTATTATTGTCTCCTTTTGGTGGGACTACATTACTTTGGGGATGAGAAAGAACATTTTTGAAATAGTCTTAGTAAAAAAAATTTAAAAATAAAAAAAAAACCAAGGAAACAAAAAACCAAAATAGTTTTAGTACAAAATCATGCAAAGCATGTCTTTTGTGGTGTTTTGTGTAACTGGTGAGTTTCAACAAAATAGCATTTTGAGTTAATGTATAAGAAAACTGGAAAGAATTAGACTTCTCTGATGAAGCACGAAAAAAATAGAGCTCGATTTTTTTTCATAAAAGGAATTAAAAAGATTGGTGTAATGGAATCTTGAGAATGATTAATCAATTCTCTTAAATTAAAGTAAATATCCATTTACTCTGTGAAGGAAACTGATGGACATATCAACAACATAAGCTAAAATAAAACTTAGTTATCATAAATATACTTGCCCAGTTGAGAGTAAGGTGGTGATTGTGTCTCAAAATTGCATCCTATATACATCAAAGATAAGAAAAAGTAACCAATCTTAAAATTATTTGTATGCAATAATAAAGAACATTCTGAATAAAGTTAATATGCACTTGATTCATTCAAAACCAGAAACCTTCCCTTTCCTTGCTTCATGTACCAGTTTACTACATAACTTTGCTCTATGAACTCTGCAGTATACTTTTGCACTGAAAAGTACACATTTTTTTATCATTCAAGTCCTTTTTCAATCTTTTTGAGATTATGTAGTTCAAAACCTCATCATTCTATCCTCTACTACTTCTTCATGAGTTTGCCATGTTAAAAAAACTTACCATTTAAAAAGGAAAAAGACATTATCTTGCATAAAATGGAGAAATTTTGTAGTTTACAACTGTTCTGTTACAGTATGGCTACAAACTCATGCTGTAAGTTCAATTGTAGTCACACTAAACTGCTGCTGTGATTTACGTTTGTGTTCTATTTTACTAAAATAGCTACATAGGAATACAACATATATTCCTATGTATCTATGTATCATTTAAGTAATATATTTATTAATATTGAAATCATTTTTAAAGTAAAGAGGTATTTTGAAAGCCTTATTCTTTTTAGATGTCAAAGATCTTTTATGCCTTGTTATGTACAGATCTATGGTATAGAGTGGTATTCATGAAATATATCTATGCCATTTCAACTATGAATCATTCCATTGCTTTCCAGAAGAGATTACAATAAACTTTCTTAACTTCATTTCCATTAGACCTAAAATTTGGGATGGCACCAGAAGAGCCTTGTAAATTCCAATTAACTTTAATTGGAATTATGAGAAAGGAAATCTAATACTTCTCCATACCCACTCAAAAAAGAATAATAAACACTGCTTTCTAACAACATTTTTGAAGGAAGATATATGAAAGACTGAATTAATAGAAAGCATTATCAGGATATTTATTTAAAGTACCTTGCTCTTATCATAAACTTAAAAATTAGAAAGTTATTTTGTCATGTATAACATCCAATGATAGGAAGTCCAGTGGTTGAGTCTGACTAGAATTTAAAGAATGTAATCCTACATTTGGTTAGTATTTTGCTAGAATAAAATGGAAATAATCCATCCATTTGTATTTCATGCTTAGCTTCAATTTAAAGCTGCCTAAATTCTTATCTGTGGATTAGGGTCCAGCGAGTATAATAAAGCTACACTTTTTTTTTACTAATTGAATTTCTAATTGAAATTTCTAATTTAATTCTAATTGAATTTTTTCTAATTGAACTCCTTTTTATACTTATTTCTACCTGTAGCAGTTACATAGGCTCTACTCAGGGCTTTTTTGTGTTTGTTTTTAATTAATTGTGCTTATATATGTTCACTTTCAAAACAGATGTTCTAAAAGGTATTTCCTTTTAAGAACAACATAAAAGAGTTAAAATTCAATTATACAACTATTACAGTACTATTAAATATATCCACCAATCAACTCAAATCACAGTGCCTTTAATCTTAAAACACATATAATAACCGTGACATTTTGTTACATCACATACAGGGAAAATAATCATTACCAAAGCATGTCTAAAAGTATACAGAGAAAACTTAAAAGAAAAAAAAGACATGTTTAATAAAGCTTGAAGTCCCTGCATATCTTTTGGACTGACATGGCATGCTCTTCCTCATTTCTCAATACAGGTGATGGGAAAAAAAGGAAAAGAAACCTTTGGAAGTGTGCAATGTATAAAAATGTGCATCCATGATTATAAAACAGCTCTGAAGAAATTAAGTTATGTGTGCTGCTTGGACAAATTTTCTAAGTTCTGCGTATTGGGCTGATCCTGTATCTAGTGTCATTACAAGTGAAATGAGCTTAAATCTGTCATAACTTGCCTTGAAGGCAAGTGAAGCAAGAGGCAGTTAGATTAACAGACCTTGTGGATTGTAATTACTTAATTATTTTATCTTCTTCTGTTTGCCATAGGTTCCTTTTTTTTTAATTGAGAAAGTATTGTCATGCTAGCAGATATTGCTTTTAAATTTTAACTCTTTTCTCCCTAATTTCGAGGATATATTCTGCTGGTGTCTCTCAAGCTTATGTTTAAATAAGCCCACCTTGGCCAGATGTATTGATCCACTCTTAGACACAAATGGCTTCCAGGATTCATCAGCTGCACACTTTCAGAATGTTTCACTGGCCTTATAAAAGCAGATTATGCTAGAGCTGTGTCATAGTATGCTACGGCAGAATGACTAATTCATGCCAGTGTTAACAAAAAGGGTAATTTGTGAGCAAAAAGTGTGAATGTGAGCCAAAGGAATAATCTTACTGATGTGGAGGGCTCACTAATCAGTCATTACACATGCATAGCAGTTCAGATGGTTTAGTTGCTATATCACACATACACAAAATGTCATTATCCAAATCCTCTTCACCCTAGAAGCAGGTCATAGACATGGAGAATAATTACCTCCTTTTAATGTAGACATGAATATCAAAAACTAAACAAGATATTTCAGAGTAAAGGCCCAGAGATTAAGAGGAAATGTCATTTGTCCTCAGCTCACCCGATACATTCAGAGACTGTAAAGAAGAATGCAAACTCAGCTGGTGGGATGAGGATCTGATATCAAAGCAGGATCTTCCAGAAAAGTTGGGTTGTAGATTAAGGGTTGATGAGAAAGGACTCATCCTACGAAGCTGTAATCTTTCTGAAGGAGATGGAAAAGCGAGGGTCTGTTCTTCAGAATCTGTGTCTAAATGTAAATCAATGCAAACTAGATATCAGAAATCAGCCACCTATTTGCATACTCTTACCAATGCTTTACCAATTATGCTAGCACAAGCCTGACCCCATGGGGAAGGGGCGCTATGTGTCCTCTCCTTAAAAAAATGGGATTGGGGGCAGGAACAAAGTAAAGGAGATCTTTACAAGGAGAGAGAGAGAGAGAGAGAGAGAGAGAGAGAGAGAGGAGAGAGAGAGAGAGAGATGTATGCATGGGTGTATGTGTATCCCTGCTTATTCTTTCCTCTGACATTTCAAATAGCATGACTTTTATTCTTCCAAAATGTTAAGTGGTAATCAAACAATTAGTACATTTCTCTTTTGCCCTTAAATATTATTTGTGTTGAAGTTTATTCTTGAAAGTAAATTTTGCTAGGTGATGACTGAAAGGGCTTTACCTTCAATAATTGTTTGATAAATTTATCCTCAAACAACAAAATTCTTCTCAGAAGTTTTTGTGTAAGTGATGATGATAATTAGGAATCATCTGCATGACCATGATTTTCCCTTTCCCTCTTAACATGTTATTCCTCTTAAGAAATGTTTTTCCTTGAAAATATATTAAGGTTTGGTTTTTTTTCCCACAACAGACATCAAAACACTCTCAAAGCTTTGGTCTTTGCATGGGAGTGCTGATGTAAAACGCAAGTGACTCTGGGAAGAAAACACTCAGCTGACCTACTGTTCAGTAAAGGAAACTAGATTCTTTTCTTGTCCCATGAAGTTATGTTTAGATCCTGGAAATTTCAATTAACCTCTTTATAACTATAAAAATAAATTGACCTCTCAAAGACGTAATATGGATTACTTATAAAATACCTGTAAACAACGTAAAGGACATGCTGTCAAATGTTTAATACCTAGTTCTCAAAAAATGTATGCACAACAAACTTAAATTGAACCTACATTATTATCATTTCCCATCACTTTCTTAAATCTAGACACTCAACAAAATAATAAACCAAGCCCTGATTTATAACATTTGCTTATTTTTGAAGTATACATGCTTACACAGAACATTAACAGTTGACTCTTGTGAGCTGGTACAAGTTGGCTAAAGAACACCACTGGGTATATTATTGATTCAAAGAAGAGGCATTGTAGAAATACTAAATCAATGTAAGGAAGTTCTTAATTGTCTGTTCTGTGCAAACAAAACAGCTAATGAATTGATTTTTCTAAATTGCAAGAAGCATCTATTTCCTGCCTTAAAAAAGAGAAATGTATTATGTTCAAACAGGCACTCATACCAGGTCATTTAATACTAACCAGATGCAACGTAAGAGGCTGGTCATAAGTTGACTCCAGTTTTGTCTTTGAATTCCATTTTAGAGGAACTAGAAATTATGAGATACAATTGGTTTCTTATAACATTTTCAGTTCAAACACTACCAAGTTTCCTTAAACCATTTTGGTGGCTGTGGACATTTTGCTATTTAGATTTGTTTACATTCTCATCATTGAAATGAGCCCTTATTTTACTGTGATTCTCTGTGAGTGCTTGATATTTAATAAACAGAGTAGAGATGACAAATGTGCCCATCTCTAGGAGTCAGTTTGAATTAAGACAGGCAAAAGTTCTGCTTATTAGGCTGATTTCAGCAAAGTAAAAACCTAGAACAAGTGTCATCACGGGCAAAATGAGCTTAAATCTGCCATAACTTGCCTTGATGGCAAATGAAGCAAGAGGCAGTTAAATTATCAGACCTTGTGGATTGTAATTACTTAATTATTTTATCTTATTTTTGTTTGTCATGGCTTCCTTCTTTTAACTGAGAAAGTATTATTGAATTTATTTTTGTGGAAGATTAAAAAAAACTATGATAAAATAATATAAATGCTTACTTAAGTATTTATCAAACTGTAGCTACATTTATCAAACACTACAATACCATTTTCATTATTAAATTAAAAGTTTTTTTCATCTCCTAATAAAAATCTGCTTAGCATTGCAGATTTCATTATATACTGGCAGTTGATTTGTTGTTCTTAAATCTAAAGTTGCTTTAAAATATAAGGGAAAAACACATAGTAGAATTCATTTTCAATATTTCTGAATCTTGGCCCAATCATCAGAAGAATCAGTTGAATTCTTTAATGAAAACATTTATAGTGATTCCATCAAAACCAATTATAATTTCACTTAACTATTTCATTCTCGTCAATAGGAAGGACACATTCAATGAAGAAACTTCTTTCTGGGCTAGAAGATGCAATGATGTACAGCTTGGCACTTTGATAGTTTTTTTTTTTTTTGGTGAGGCAATTGGGGTTTAGTTACTTGCCCAGAGTCACACAGCTAGTAAGCATTATGTGTCTGAGACTGGATTTGAACTCAGGTCCTCCTGATTCCAGGGCCAGTATTCTATCCACTGCACCACCTAGCTGTCCCAACTTTGATAGTTTTGTGTGTGGATTTTGCCACCATGTTTCAGTTTCCTTCTCCCTCTGTGTGCTCCTTCTCCCACTGAGGACTTCCTCCCAGAGCCTCCACTTTTAGGGAAGTGCTCAGATCCACCATGCTTCACTTTTTGGACTTTGCTGCAATCTTCCTCAATCCAAAGAGTGTAAACCCCACCCCCCATTTCAGCTCTTTTTTATATACTGTCTTCCTCTATAAAGATATAAGCTCTTTCGCTGTTGTTTAGTCATTTTTCAATCATCTCTGATTCTTCATGATCCCATTTAGGGTTTTCTTAGCAAAGATACTAGAGTGCTTTGCCATTTCCTTCACCAGCTCATTTTACAGATGAAGAAACTGAGGCAAACAGGGTTGAATGACTTGCCTAAGGTCTCAAAATGAGTGCTGGAAGCCATATTTGAACTCAGGAAGATGAGACTTCCTTGACTCCAGATCTGGCATTCTATCTACTTCACTGCCTAGCTGCCTTGACAGTAGGAGCTATCTTTATTTTTATTTGTATTTGTATCCCCAGTGCTTATCTCAGTGTCTGACACATACTAAGCATTTAATTAATGCTTGTTGACTTGAATTGACTTGCCATTATCTTACCATATAAATAGTTTTCTTGATGACCATCTCAGTTCCCAGGTTTCAGCTCTTAAGAATCTGTTCTGCTCAGATGAATTTCTTATTGCCCATCATTTACCATCCATTTCTCATTCTTGGGTCTTCTACCATTGTATACCCAATAGCTTGTGAAATACGCACTCATTTTTAACTCAAGTAGCAACTAAAATCTCACCTCTTCCACAAAGCCTTCCATTGCTAATTAGAAGAAATGGAGTGTCTAAACTGGAATTATTTATACTGATGAAGAAACAAGCTCAGATTCAAAAAATTTTTTTACTAATTTGCTTTATGTTTTGCATACGGAGTTTTCAAAAATAGAAGTATTCTTATTATGGCTCTCTCAGCATACATCCCAAAATGAAATCTATTTAACTGAACTATAAAGAAGGTACCTTCAGAATTAGTAACTTCTCAGGCAAAGCTAAATTATATGTTCTAAATTTTGTGTTTCCTAGCAGAATACATTTTGAAGAAGTGCACCAACATTTCAGGATACTGATAAATATTTAAGTTCTTATTCATTAGAAAATTATTGTCAATTTAATATGTCATTACAGATAGTGGGAAGGTAGGTGGTACTACACTGGGCCTGGAATCAGGAAGACAAATTAAAATCTGGTCTCAGACACTTACTAGCTATATGACCTTGGGCAAGTCACTTAAAGCTTTTTGCCTCAGTTCCTCATCTGCAAAATGAGGACACAATGGAGAAGGAAATGGTAAACCATGTTAGTATTTTTTGACAAGAAAACACTATGGACAAAAGTCTATGGGGTCTGGTACAGTCAGACACGACTGAACAACTAAACAACAACAAGAGATAGGAAAGCAACTCCTTAAGAAGATTCTCATCATGGTGTATATCATATCCTAATATGGTCCAGACTTTGTTGCACAATTCTAGGATATTCTTTTATAAATGTATGCAACATAGACTCAAAAGCAATAAAATGTATTAACAATGCAAATTTATTTCCAAACTTTAAATTGTACTTTTACCTTTTCAAGCACCTGATTTAGTGTTTTGCAAATATCAGACAGTTATTAAATTATTTATGATGCTGATGAGTGTAATATGTTGCCAATATAATCCTTTTTTTAATTGGTTATATAAGCTTCTCTAAGCTTGTGGTATAGATGAAAGGGTAGTGATCAGGAGGACAAATTACTCCCTTTTGGCTAGCCTCTACTGTTATGTGGGCAGAGCCACTTTTCCCCTTATCTTTTGTGGTATACCTTTCTTTTTAGTCAATATCTTCAGCTCTCCCCCTGGGGGTAGGGAGAGAGATAGGTTTTCCTTAAACCTGTGTAGGACTTCAGAAGGACTGAAAATTCTTAAATCAATTGGCCCCACAAGAGATAACTCCAGCAGGGAAATGTTTAGATTCAGGTGTGCCTGGGATCATTTGGTCTAGATTCATTGGGTCTGTCTTGGCTTTGGGAAGTTATAAAATATAAATCAATAAAAGTATCTTAAACATCTGAATCTTAGCCTATGTATTAGGAAAATTCTCAGCAATTAAGTCTCTCTCCTTAGGTACATAATGACTCATTTTCCTCCTCCCTAGTTGCATTTATTAGTAAAGGGAATACATACATAAATTAGTATAGTAATGCAATTAAGTGATATTAAAGAAAGTTTCATTTAAAATAAGTGACAAAATAGAAATAAAACTCTTAATGAAGAAGGATTGGTAAAGGAGATTCATTTCTCCATAGAGAGTGAAATAATGTGTGCAGAGAAGAGTTGGGGATGGGAGTTTTGAATTTATAGGGTTGTATCTCTGTGGAATTACAGGCACATCAATCATGACTTATGTAAAGCTCCAATCACACAGTTCTGATAAGAGTATCAATGTATTCTTCTTGCTTTCCTGTTTCTCATTTCAATGTTACTGAAGCTGTGGAAGAGGCAGGTAGCAGCCCCTGATTCCAGT